TTAATATTATATAATGATTTTTTATAAGTTTAGCATTATATAATTTTTTTCCATAAATCCTTAAATATATGATGATTTTTTTATTACATTTCATTAAATATATATTTAGTGTTTTCAAAAATTTTGGAAAGTATATAATTAATATTAAATATGTTTACATATGTTTAATTTCGAATTTAATTGTCCACTTTTTATGGTAACAAACTTAATATGGTTTCCATAAATATAGATAATTCATAATTTTGGTTTTTATTTTTTATTTATTTAACTACATTTTTTGCTGTCTTTAAATGTGTTTGGCAATAGGTTTGCAATCACATTTTTTTTAATATTTTTTTTTCAGGTTTGTTTGGCAACAAAGACTAAAAATGATCCCCAATTAATAGTATAGATTAGTTACATGCCTAATTTATTTCTAAGTACATATATATATATAAAGTTATATTTCCTCTCTTCTCATTCCGCCACATCAGCGCCATATCATCCACCACATCATTATTTTTTTTTTTACTAAATCCAAAAGAATATGGGCTTGAGGTCCAACACTTCCACAACAATCAAAATACAAAATCTAAAAATGCATGGGCCTGAGGTCCAACACATAACAATCAAACCAGTTAAAAAAATCAGAAAATCGTGGGATACACGAGTTTGGAACTGGATGATTAAACGGGATAGGGAAAACATTTTTTAGAACCATCGTTTACAAGCGCGACACATCTGCAACAACGATACCGATTTCAAAATCATTGGCCGGAATACACGGAAAACAAGCCAGATCCTAGAATATATCAAACCCAGACACCAGAAACTTTATCTCTCTAATCACATCTTAGTAAAAAGAGAGAATACCGCATAAACTTTCCATCGACCTCTGATGAAAACCAAATGATGATAAACATTTCAAATACTAAATTACTATAAAACTGAAAAAATAATCGATATGAAAAATAGAATAACAAAAAATAACAACAATAAAAAGCCAACAAAACAAACAATGCAAAACAAAAAAAACAGCAAAAAATCATAATATAACTAAAAATAAAATAAATTTTTTATAAACCTACCGCGCGAACGCGGGTCAATAACTAGTCATTATATATAATTATAATTAATCAAAGATTTCGTTAAAAAGGTTGGGATCTATTGTATCACGGAAGAAATTCTCTGGTAAAACGGTAGCTTCAACATCATTATCGATCTCCATATTGCGAAAACCTTCATCCATGTCTCCTTCCTTGACCCCTTCTGCCACATGAAGAGGATTGTGGGAGGAAGGGAAATGAAGTTTATTGGATTCATCTTTGTTTCGGGAGACTTTGGATGAGCCAGAAGTAGTTATAACTGAGCATTTGGAGGAGGAAGAGGAACGAATAGAGCCGGCAAGAGCGTTGCTTTCAGTGGGACATGGATGGTTATGCTCAGAGAAGTAAGTAATGAGTAACATGTTTGGATCTGTTTGGTAACGTTCGACTTGTTTCCTAGCTGAACAACCTTTCGAGCTGCTACATCTGTAGTAACTCCTGAGGAACAAATAATTAAATTTTTAAGTAAAAATCAAAGTCTTTATCTAATTACACATGTGTAACAGATAAAAAGTCAAAACCCATTTGGTCATCACTTGTATATGTACCTTGGATAAACAGATGCTTTGATGGGTTTTTGGCCGTACTTGCGCCAACCCCATTGTTCAAACCCAGCTGCATCTTCACCAGACTGGCTGGCTGGATCCACCAGGTAAGACGTGCCCACTGCCATTCTCCTGCATCCATCGACAATAAATATTTATATTTTGAATCCACCAGTTATGTTGTAATGTAACACTAGTTTTGTGATCAGTGTTCATGTGGGAATCAACGAGCTAAGAGTGAATATACCGAGTTCTCTCAGGTTTCCTTGAACTGATCATGGATTTGTCACCCAATCTCTCAATCTTCTTAGATTCCGTATGGAGGATTTCTTTATCCATTCCACGTAAGCGCTTTTGGAGATTCTTTGAATGAGTGGTTATGGAACTCATACTATTTTCCACCATTCTCTTATTCTTCTTTGAGCTACCAGGCAGCATATATTTTCTATGGAGGAATTTTCTACCCATTTTACGTAGCGAAGCATGCATCGCTATTTCCCCATTGGATGATACACTTATGAGAGACCTACCGGCTAAGACCTTGAGCCCTGAACTAACATCCAAGTCAATGCCATCAATAAGTGGTGCTAGCAAATCAACATCCTCGTCATTGAACAAACACGCTATGTAAAGAAACAGAAATTTATCCATCTCCTCTAAATTAACATAATTGACTCTCAATACTTCTTCTTCAAAAATTTCATAACCAGAAACCTTCATCGGATCCAAGGACAAAACTGGCGATATATTCTCAAGACTTGTACTGCCAGTTGCAGCAGTAATTACACGGACTCCACATCTTATCACTGTGCAACTATCACCTATAAGCGTTATCTTTTCGTTGACAGGAACAAACTCAAAAGCAACTAAATCTGCCCAGATATTGAGGTCATTCTCTTCATCAGTACCTGGACGCATGTTGACATCACAGAAGACAAACATATGATCCTTCTGAACTTTTGAAACAGTATTCCCTAGACCCCAACAATGTAAATCTCTTTTTATCCTGTGAGAGTGGCCTTCCTTGTTTTTCCATTTGCAAACACAACTAATGCCAAAACCAGTAGTATCACAGTAGTCCTCCGAAAATGTGACTTCCACCAACATAGCAAAGCCCACAAGTATGTTCCTCCAAGAAGGATTTAGTTGTATCATTACAGAAGATCCTAGTTGCAGATCAAGTTTGGAATTTTGATCCGCATGTGAGGGCGCACAGAAGCTGAAAGCCAAAGCTTCATTAAGTTCCTGTTGCAGCAATGAAAAAAAAAGTCGGATACTTAGATATGATATGAGAAGAACGTGGCTGAGTGAACATCTCAGGCTTTGATATAAAGATAAAAGAGAGAGATGCGGAGAGAGATGGAGTGAGGTATTGAGACGAGTATGATTACCTGCTGACACTCTCTTGGTATATGTTCTGCATTAGCCAGCGCTTTCTCTAAAAAATCGTTGACCACTTGTGGAGAGAGATCAAAACAATCACTAAATAAGTAATGCACAGGAAGCTTCTCGAAGTTCAAACGAATTGATTTAAGAGAGACACAACCATTTGCATTAAAGACTTCTAGAGTTTGAGGAAGTTGTGGCACTTGTCTTACTGCAGTGCCAGCAAGATATAACTCTTTCAGGTTCCGAGGGAAAGCCTGGATAATCTCGAGCTCTGAGCAACCAGAAAGATCAAGAACTTTGAGAAGTTCTAAATTATCCATGTTTGGCAGACTTCGCAAACGAGAACAATCTTTCAGCTCCAAGCAAAAAAGCTTGCCAAGATTTTGATTAGATGTGCTTATTTTCATCAGGCTTGTTAAAGGTTTGAGATCACTTTCTTCAAGGTTTGAGACGCCAGAAAGACCCGGGATTTCACCTAGAATAGTCAAAATCTCTCTGTAGTTTGGCTTAACAATGGAAAGTGGTAATTCTACTATGCCAGTCCTCTGTAGATGCAGTGACTCGATATTTGGGGGAATCTCTGGGAAACTTTTGATCTCTATGCAACCTGAGAGATTAACAACTCGCAAATGCAGAAAATGACCAATGGCTGGAAAACTTTGCAGTCTTGTACACCCTTGGAGATCAATTACCTCAAGATTTTGAGCTAATAAAAGATCGTCAATATCAACTAGCTGCTGGGAATGACAAAGCCTGATCGTCCTTAACATGTCCAGGGGCTGAGGGAAAAAAAAATAATTACAAAATCTGTAAAATATAGACAAGGATGAAAGACACATACAGTATTTGAGTTTGCTTACCTTGGTTCCTTCCCAAAGTTTCTTAAGTTGGCTGTACGGCATGTTGATTTCAACAAGGTGCATAGGATCGAAATTTTGAGGCAGAATTTGCAGAGGATAGTTCTCCCAATGGAGGAGTCTTAACTCATTAGGAAGAGAATACAGAGATTCTTTAAGGACATTGATTACATTATGGACTTCAGAATTAGAACTGTAAATCTTGAGCAATCTAAGCTTCGACATATTATCAAAGGCAGCAGGCTTAATATCAAAACTTAAGTTTGATGTGTCCAGAAACATGCCTTCAATCTCTTCAGTACCCTGAAAGAATATTGCAAGTAGATCATATTAAGATGTTGGCTCACAAGATAGGTTAAATATAAAACTATCAAAAGATAACAGACCTGAGCACGTTTAAATGTTTTTTCGTGTTCTCCATTATTTTTTTGTTCGTGATTTTCTAATAAAAATTTGATGCACCAAGGTTCCCACAATCTGATGCGCTTCTTAGTATGTCTTGTTTCTCTATTTATTATTTCTCTGCCAACATCTTGGGTCAAGATATGCATTCGCACTCGGTTTTCTGAAATAGTCACTAGACACTTCTCGACAAGAACATCTATCCCAACATGTGGAAAGAAACCACAACCATCAAGCAGTTGCATCACGTAGTTGACATTTTCTCCCTGAAAGAAACAAGCAATGTCCAGAAAAATATTCTTTTCCATGTCATTGAGTGTGTCATAGCAGCTCTTGATTGCATCAACAAACTTAGTTGGAGGACGTTCCTTGAGTTCGAGGAATGATGTCTCCATTTCTGGCGGTATTTTCTTACCCTTCAGCTCGTTGCCATATGTATTAAGAGCTAATGGAAGTCCATCGGCATACTTAACCACTTTCATTGACACCTCGTGGAGATTCTGCTCTGCCATATCATCTATAGACGCACACAAAGAGAAGAGCTGAAGAGCCTCTTTCTCATTTAAACCCTGAACCTCATAAATTTGATCAACTCGACAAAGGCGAAACACCTGTCTATCTCTGGATGTTATGATAATTAGGCTTTTGGGACCAAACCAGTCAAACCCTCCAAGAAAAGACTCCACAACCAGAGGATTACGCACATCATCAAGAACAACGAGAACTCTCTTATTGTTCAATTTGTCTCTAAGCAAGCTCAATTTCGTAATGGTACCGGTAGCACCAGGCTTTTCTTTCAAGAATTGCTCCTCCAGCAAACGATAAAGACCCTTCTCTTGAATAGCTTTGGTATAGTCTTCAATAAAACAATAAGCATCAAATTCACCAGACATTTGGTCAAAGACCGCTCTAGCAAGTGTCGTCTTGCCTATGCCAGGCATACCCCAAATTCCAACACAACGGATGCCCAGAGGTTGCTTGCAAACCATTTTTTCAATCTCCAACAGCTTCGAATAGATTCCAATTCGTTCCATACAAAAGAGCTTCTCATACACATCTCTCACAATCTCTTTTACAAGTTGGGAGTCACTCCACTCTTTCCTACGCGAAATTTGCTCAAGTAATTAAAAAAAATGCACTTTTTTAGAAACCTAGCTTTATAAAACCTTAACTTTTTGAATACCTTGACTGGTGAACTGATGTTAAACCCTTCGAATCCAGCGCCCTAAGCCATTCGGTTTCTAATGATCTGGTGCCGTACAACACCGGAACCACCACCTGATCTCTGTTCTTCTGGCACTCCAGAACCTTAACGAGCTTATCAAGGCATACCGTAAGGTTACTTGGTAAAATCATCACCGAGACTCTAGCTCCCTCGACTTTAAACTGAGATTCTTCAGAAAGCAGATCGTTGGTATCGACGAACACATCGTGTATGCCTTTCCGGCGGAGAGCTTCGGAGAGGTGGCTGACGAAGGAGTATCGTACTTCCTCTACGCAGCTGATGTAAACGGATTTCTCACTATCAGCCATGATTTTTTTAGAAATTGTGCAGGTGAGGATGCGTCTGGGTCGCACCCGAAACCAACTCTCTGAAACGATTGGGTTCCCTGAGCACTTTCTTGCACTCCATTGTAAAGTCAACTATCAAAAGGTTCCAAAGCAGATCCCACCACATTTGTTCCACGAGTCAAATAAGTTGATCAATTGCCAATGTTAGTTATATACAGATATTTTTTTCTGAAATAACAAATTTAGATATCTATAAGATAATATATATATATATCAAATATTTTTTTTTACTTTTATATAGAAATTAAATAATGATATATCAAATAATATTTACTTTATAATATGAAATACAGTATATGTAAGTAATGTATATGTTTAGAAATTTATTGTAGATTAGTTAAATAAATGAGTTTCTTTTTAATGAAACAAACGTACAAATAATTAAATTAAAGATCATGAACCTATAAATAATTATATATTAAATATTTTATAATTTGATTAACTGAAATGAGTAGTAGAGTAGATTATATTTATTAGTTGACACGTTAAAGAATTTACAATATAGTTTTAATGAAATAATTTATTTTTAAAATTTTAATTTTATAGTTAATTATGCGGTTGACCGTACAACTCTTTTAAATGGTAATGGTTGGTAATTTACGGTTATTGACCGTTTGAAACAAATTTAGATTGATTACGGTTGAGAAACGATCTAGGTATGGTGTAAAATACGGTAACAGTTATATTTTGGTCATAATTATCTAAGGCGGAGTGGTTATGCTTTCAAATATTTAATAAAATGAGAAAATACTTTTTTTATAGTCTTTTAAATATACGATCTCATTAATATTATGCATTAATAGTCGTATAAATTTACACATATATAAGTTGATATACTAATGGGATTTATTATTTTAACCAATATATTAATAAATACTTCTAATTTTCTTTTAGTATTTTTTCCTAGAAATATTCTCTAGAAAAATAAATGTTATATTGTATTTTCAAACTAGTAAATATGCATCGTTTTTTTGTTTTGGTAGTCTTGTAGACTTTTAAAATACAGAAAAGCTATTAATTTTATTTTAAACTTGAATTTATGTTACTATGTGTATAAATGAATTTATCTATTGTATTTGTAATCTTTTCGATTATTTCTTTGAAATTTTTAAATTTTAAATTTTAAATTATTTATATCATATTTTTTTTTTCAAAAATCTTAACAGTGAAAAGTTATTACTAAAAAAATAATACATTACTTTAAATTAATAAAAATGTCATGGTCTCAAAATATTAGTGTATTTTTGCCCAAAAAATAAAAAGTGTATCTTTTCAGTTTGAACTTTGAAGGTCAAAACGTTTACTTTCTTCAACCTCTCTCTCTCACAGTTCATCATCCATCATAAAAGATCTCTGTTTTCCGGTTTGGTTCTTCTTCCTTCATAAACCAGCTCTTAGGGCTTTTGATTTTTCATTCTTCGAGTTTAATTGGAAGTTCCTTGTCTGGACATCCATAACACCATGGCGGCGTCCTCCTCCTCCGATCTCCCACCGCAACACCAAGTGTTCATCAATTTTCGTGGAGAAGATCTGCGTCTCGGATTCATCAGCCATCTTGTCGAGGCCTTAGAAAATGATAACATCAACGTCTTCATCGACAACTACGCAGACAAAGGCGAACCTTTAGAGACACTATTAACGAAGATACAGGAGTCTCGAATCGCTCTAGCTATCTTCTCCGGTAAGTACACCGAATCAACATGGTGCTTGAGAGAGCTTGCGATGATTAAAGATTGTGTGGAGAAAGGTAAACTAGTTGCTATTCCAATCTTCTATAAGTTGGATCCTTCCACTGTTAGAGGCGTAAGGGGACAGTTCGGTGATGCATTTAGGGATCTTGAGGAACCTGATTTGACTCAGAAGAAAGAGTGGAAAAAAGCTTTGAAGTGGATTCCTGACTTGATTGGTATCACTGTGCACGAGAAAAGGTAACTGATTTTGCCCAATTGGTTTGAGAATTAACCCAAAAGCTCGAACCTTTCATTGGAATCCAGTAAAGAGGTCATGATGATCTTATTTTCTTCATTCGTGTTGCAGTCCTGAGAGCGAAATACTCAACGAAATCGTCAAGGAGGTTAAGAAAGCGTTGAAGAAAGTTTCTTTGGAGGGAACTCTAAAGGCTTCTGTTGATCCATTAGAAAGTATCTATACTCGAACTTCTTCTGGAGGTGAAAAGGATAAGACTTTTGGAATCAAAGAACGCATCAAGGAGTTGGAAGATAAGTTGGATCTTGTTAAATACAAAGGAACTCGTGTCATTGGAGTTGTTGGGATGCCTGGGATTGGTAAAACCACACTGCTGAAAGAGTTCACTGAGACGTGGAAGGGCAAGTTTTTTAGGCATGCGTTAATCGATCAAATCCGTGAAAAGGCAAATAATTTCAGGTTAGAGTGCTTGCCTACATTGCTTTTAGAAAAGATACTGCCGGAGTTGAATAATCCCCAAATAGATAGTATCGAAGAACCATACAAAACTCATAAGGGTCTGTTGCGTGAACGCAAGGTTCTTGTTGTTCTTGATGATGTTAGTGGAAGGGAACAAATTTATGCTCTTCTTGGGAAATATGATCTTCACAATAAACATGAGTGGATCAAAGATGGCAGCAGGATTGTCATTGCAACAAACGACATGTCCTTATTAAAGGGTCTGGTTCATGACACTTACGTGGTCCGGCAATTAAACCACAGAGACAGCTTACAACTTTTTCGCCATCATGCCTTTCATTATGATCAAGCTATTCCTTCAAAGATGGATTTCATGAAGCTTTCTGACGAGTTTGTGCATTATACCAGAGGCCATCCACTAGCTCTCAAAATATTGGGTAGAGAACTTTATGAGAAAAATATTAAGCATTGGGAAACAAAACTGAAGATTCTCGCTCAAAGTCCTACTACTTATATTGGAGAGGTCGTGCAAGTAAGCTATGATGAATTGAGTTCGGCGCAAAAAGATGTATTTCTCGACCTAGCCTGTTTTAGATCGCAGGATGTAGATTATGTGGAAAGTTTACTGGCTTCTTCTGATCCCGAATCTACAGAAGTGATAAAACCTCTTAAGAATAAGTTCCTGATTGATACTTATGACGGCCGTGTGGAGATGCATGATCTCCTGTATACATTTTCTAGGGAACTTGATCTTAAATCATCCACTCACGGTGGTAGCAAACAGCGGAGAGTGTGGCAACATCAAGACATAATCAATGTACAGCAAAAGACAATGGTGAAACAAGAAGTTCCTCTAGATTTTTATCGATCAAAGTTTACACTATTTTACTCTTTACTAATACTGTTCTGGTTATTGCTGTTTTATATTTATTACCAGGGAGCTACTGATGTCAGAGGTATTTTCTTAGATTTGTATGAAATGAAGGGTGAAACAAGCTTAGACCCTGAACACTTCAAAAATATGTGCAATCTCCGGTATCTCAAGTTGTACAATTCACATTGTCCTCATGAATGTGAAACTAACAATAAGGTAAACCTCCCTGATGGACTTAAGCTACCATTGAAAGAGGTCCGATGCCTCCACTGGCTGAAATTCCCATTGGATGAACTTCCAAACGATTTCGACCCAATTAATCTCGTTGACCTTAAGCTGCCATACAGTGAGATTGAACGCCTTTGGGAAGGTTTTAAGGTGTGTCTTTTTATAGATAATTCTGTAGCTTTTTGGAGTTAAATGAACCTGTGCAGTTTTTCTTGACTGGTGGCTAAATGTTTGCTGTTATAGGATACACCAGTCTTAAAATGGGTCGATCTCAATCACTCAAGTAAGTTGTGCAGCGTGTCAGGATTATCAAAGGCTCGAAATCTTCAAAGACTGAACCTTGAAGGGTGCACAAGCCTTGAATCTCTTCAACATGTGAATTTGATATCTTTGAAAACTCTCACCCTCAGTAACTGCTCAAACTTCAAGGAATTTCCGTTGATTCCAGAAAATCTAGAAGCTTTATACTTGGATGGAACAGCGATAAGTCAACTTCCTGACAACGTGGTGAACCTGAAGAGACTTGTCTTATTGTATATGAAGGACTGCAGATTGCTGGAAAATATCCCGACCGGTGTTGGTGATCTGAAAAGTCTTCAAAAACTGGTACTCTCTGGTTGTTTAAAGCTCCATGAGTTACCAGAAATGAAAAAGAGCAGTTTAAAAATTTTACTCCTGGATGGGACATCCATAAAATCGATGCCGCTGTTACCCTCAGTGCAATGTTTATGTTTAAGCAGAAATGATCAGATTAGCTACATTCCAGCTCGGATAAATCAAGTTTCTCAATTAACAAGGCTGGATTTGAAGTATTGTACGAAGCTTACATCTGTTCCAGAGTTGCCACCAACTCTCCAATACTTAGATGCACATGGCTGTAGCTCACTGAAGAATGTTGCAAAACCTCTGGTCCGTGTCATGTTAACTGTGCAGAACCATTGCACTTTCAATTTTACAAACTGTGGTAACCTAGATCAGGCTGCAAAGGAGGAAATCCAATCATATGCTCAAAGGAAATGTCAGTTGCTGTCAGATGCTCGTAGACACTACAATGGGGTATTTCTCTATATTCTAACTCTATCTCCATGTCTCTCTGTATTTATTTGATTCTTATACTTTAGGAAACTCCACAATAATGATTTCCTTATAATTTTCAGGGTCGTAGTTCAGAAGCTTTGTTTAGCACTTGCTTTCCTGGATGTGAGGTGCCTTCGTGGTTTGGTCATGAAGCAGTTGGATCTCTGTTGCAACGAAAACTTCTCCCACATTGGCATGTCAAGAGGCTTTCTGGAATAGCTCTTTGTGCTGTAGTCTCATTTCTTGACAGAAAATATGATATCAGTTGCTTCTCGGTGACATGCACCTTTAAAATAAAAGTTGAAGGCAAGTCTTGGGTCCCCTTTACATGCCCCATAGGAGTTTGGACTAGAGAGGGAGACAAGAATGACAAGATTGAGTCAGACCATGTTTTTATATCCTACATTAGCTGCCCACATACAATAAGGTGTCTCGAAGACGAGAACTCTGATAAATGCAAATTTAGTGAAGTCTCCCTTGAGTTTACTGTGACAGGAAGTACAACTCGGATAGGAATATTCAAGGTGTTGAAGTGTGGTTTGAATTTGGTCTATGAAAATGATAAAAACAAAAACAGCTCACATGTGGAAAAATACGATGTTCCTGTTAAAGCAAGCTTTGAAGAACCAGAACACGGGATAATGGAGGAGGAAAGAAATATAAACAAAACAAGAAGTGATGATAGGCGGGCAAAAAAGAAGCGGAAAACAAGAAGGGATGATATTATGATAATATCCACTGTCACTCAAACTTGTGTCTCAAGTGTAACTCCAAGAATGGAAGATAAACTCATTGGTTAGACAAATAGTTGAAAAGTCTCGAAGCTCCAACAAGTAATGGTGGGATGAATATGTTTCAGGTGAACCACATTCTTAAACAGCACTCCAACAAGTAATTGAGAAGCTCGTGTATTGATTGTGGTTCATGCGAGTGTATCTAGGATGTGAATCATAAAGATAAAGCATCTGCTTCAACCAAAATCCTCTCTTTTACCATCAAGCCAAAGGATTGGATAGAGTGATTTGTTTACCAAAGCTTCTCCTTTTTCATCACTTTCAATGGTTCATGGGGCATCCTGTCAAGTTACACCGCAGAAAGGTAATCTTGTATTAGACATCCATTAGTACCTTTCTGGTTCAAGTTAATTTCAGGGTCTTGCTTGGTTATATAGTTCGGCTATGACTAGTATTTTAAGCTCTCCATAAGACTTATGTAGAAATTCTCATTTCACATTTTTCTTTCTCATATTGAAAACCTGAAATGGTTATTTTTCTTACAAGAGTATTGTTCTAACCCCACTTATTCTGTCTAGCCCTGCAATAGGTGTTTGAAGTCTAGGTGGAGTGTCACGTTTCAACCCTGAAGCTGTTGTTCCAGGTAAGCTTGATCCCTCTGTTGTTTGATTATATTATGTGTGTAACAAAGTTATTCAGCGTGTTAATTATAAGAGTTCCAAGGGGGAAAAGTTCTTAATTGCAATATGTTTTTGTTTGCCTGCTCTGAATTTAGAAGAAATGTCTATTTATGAACCTTCTCAAAAAAAGCTATTGATAATTTAAACCGACACATTTGAACATGATGGGGCAGGAACCTTGACAAGAAAGATGCTGCACTTTTTTTCAAGCTGAAACCTGATTACAGAAAAGGCCCTACTTCAATATTCACATGATTTTACTCTATGTTTGCCCAAAGAAAAAAACAAAGAAGAAGACGCAGCATAGAATATCATCAAGGTGTTATATGATAAGGATTAGGATGATATTTTTTCTAATACTTTTGTTGAAAATACTTTTTAAAACTTGTTCCGCAGTCCAGCCTTGTTTGGAGGTATAGATGCAGCAAGCTCAGCAAATAGCTTAAGATTGATAGAAATCAACTAGAGCCTATTGGCTGGTTATTAGTCTCTAGTTTTCTTGGTCTTGGGTTTGATCTATGGCAGACTGGAGATTTATGCTTGATTGGAAACTGTATGTGTATGGATACTTTTCTCGCTGTCCAAGCAGCGTTTTGAAAAAGAATCCTGCCTACCTTTCTGTTACTGCATATTCATACTTCTTCGGTGCATCAATAATGATCACAACAGCTTTCGTTTATGTTAGAGAGCCTAAAGATTGGAGCTTGACTCAATCTTTGGTTCTTGTAGTTATATTCGCATTAAGTCTTCACAACCGAGATGTAACATGTTTATTTGGGTGTGTTTGATACAAAAGACTAGAGCTTGAGCTCGAGTGGATCGGAGCTTTCTACGGATTCATCTAACTAGTTTGTCCTTTTTCTCTTTTCGGTTGTTGTTCCTCAGGGAGTGTTTGCATCAGCTCTAAACTATGGACTCTTGACTTGTTCCAGTAAAATTCTTGGAGCTGCTTTGATTTCTCTATACAAATCCTCTTCAGCCAGCAAAATCCACCTTTCTATCGACAATTTTCCTCGGAAGCCCGATCTATCTTGGAAGGTTTAAAAGATTTTATAGTCTTCCTTGCATCTTTTGATCCATCCACAGACATGAAAACCGTAGTCTCTTCTTATTGTATTGAATCATATAGTGAGGGTCAAATTCGTAAATACCAAAAGACGTGGGGTAAAATCGTAAATACCGAAAGATATGGGGTAAATTCGTAAATAACGAAAGATATGGGGCAAATTCGTAAATACCAAAAGATGAGGGGTAAATTCATAAATATCGAAAGATATGGGGCAAATTCGTAAAATCCAGAAGTTGTGGGGCAAAATCGTAAATACCGAAAGATGTGGGGCAAATTCGTAAATACCAGAATATGTGGGGCAAATTTGTAAATACTAAAAGATGTGGGGCAAATTCTTAAATACCGAAAGATATGGGGCAAATTCGTAAATACCGAAAGATGCGGGGCAAATTCGTAAATACCGAAAGATGTGGGGCGAATTTGTAAATACCAGAAGATGTGTGGCAAATTCGTAAATTCCGAAAGATATGGGGTAAATTCGTGAATACAAAACGATATGAGGCAAATTCGTAAATACCAAAAGATGTGTAGTTCAATCACCTCACATTGAAAACCCTTATTTTTCCTGAATATTACAACCAAAAAGAATCACAAACAATTTAATTAAAAAACAAAAATGTGATTTACTTACTATGTATAGCCAAGCGATAGATAATTGTGTTTTGTCAACATCACTAAGGAAAAGAGATTATCTCCATTTGTTTCCTTTAACAAGCATGCCCTTTGGTCGCTTTTAAAATGCGTAGCACATCTCTCATGTTCATCCGATCACCAGCTGCATAAACAGTGCAAGCCAATCCAACTTCCACAATTTTGTTAAGGCAATCAAGTTTTGTGTGAAGCTGTGCACCATAAATATCGTCCATGAGTCCCTTAAGTCTAGGGTCGATCACTTCCATAATCGCATTATTTTGAAACCCATGACTTATCCATTTCACCAAACTTTGATCTCCTTGGAAGCTCTCGTCCATTGGGCTTTTCCCACTAAAAAGCTCTAACAACATCACTCCAAAGCTATACACATCTCCTGCTCGTGATGGCTTTTCTCCAAGCCCATACTCTGCATGCATGTATGATGTAAACCACATAATAGTTCATAAATCTTTTTACCATAGATATAAGCATCATGATCATCAATATTTATCTTTTCATTAGTTATTAGGCATTCAGATTCCACAGTAGATTGTTAAGAAATGTTTTCATTTGTTTCTTAAACGTGCTAAAATCCATCCTAAATGAAGTTGGATTTTCCAAAAAAAATAAAAAAAATGAATATTTTATTGTTGTATTTCTTAAAGATTTTTTTAATGATTAGTAATTAAAGATTTTCCAAAATTTATCTTGCTATTACGAGTATTAAATTAAAATTGGCACGATGAGTTGATAATAATACATTAATACATATCATTTGAAAAAAAAAGATATTTTGTTTTCTAGAAGTATTGTGAAACATTAACCTATATTCAAAAATAAAATTTGATTTAATTTAACTTTTACAATTAATTGATTAAAAATGTATAGAAATATTAATAATAAAAATATTTAAGTACATATGTATTTACCTGGAGGGATGTAGCCAATGGAGCCTTTCAAGACGTGTGTGGAACTTATAGAAGCATGAAGACCATCATCAGATGCGTTAAATAACACACGAGCCAGTCCAAAGTCTCCGACCTTTGCAACCATCTCTTCGTTTAGAAGAATATTGCTTGGTTTCAAATCACAATGAACAATAGGAACCTCACAATCATTGTGCAAATAATCCAATGCAGATGCAATGTCAATGGCTACATTCACTCTTTCTTCAAGACTTAAACCAACTCTCCCATCAGATTTTACCTTCTTGCCTTTGATCCATTCTTCTAAGCTTCCATTGCTCAAAAACTCATACACCAAAGCTAGAAACTCAGTGTTTTTGAAGTCAATGCTTGAGCAAGAAGTTATTAGTTTCACAAGATTCCTATGCCTTACATTCCTCAAAGCCTCACACTCTGCTATAAATCCTTTATAGTATCCGTGGGCTTTGAGATCGATGACTTTTACCGCGAGATCAGCTCCTTGTACTACCCCTTTGAATACTGATCCAAAGCTTCCAACGCCGAGAAGATTTCTAGAGTTGAAACTATCGGTAGCTCTTTTGAGCTCATCATATGAGACGTTCATGAATGGTTCCTTTAAAAGTGAACTTGATGATGCAGATGGGATAGAATTTTTTGCTCTTCTTTTCAAAATCAAGAAAGATACCACGCCTATAGCTATTACACCTACCACACATGTAACAATGGTCACTTTCAAAAGTTTTTTGTGCTTCTGACTTTTTCGACATGTGGTGGGGGTGCATAGCTTCAGATTTCCCTCCATAGAAACGCTAGACTTATCCTTGAAAATCCCATTACTTGGGATCCATCCTTCAAGATTGTTAAATGAAAGATTCAAAGACTTGAGGGCTTGTAAATCTTGAAGTTTCAGGGGAATAAAACCGGAAAATTGGTTTGAAGATAGATCTAGAAGCTCTAAACCTTTCAACTCTGCCACACTTTCCGGGATTGGTCCGGACAGATTATTCCTAGCCATGTTTAGCTTCTCTAAGCTCTGACAACCTTTGATAGAAGAAGGAATGTTGCTTGATAACTGGTTATCAGAAATATCTAGGCTTACAAGGCTTTCGAGGCGACTTACATCTTGAGGAATAGGTCCAGATAATAGGTTTCTAGATAGATTCAAGATGGCACTCAAGCTATGTAGGTTAAGAACTCCCTTTGGTATGCTTCCATTTAGCATGTTGTTGGATAGGTCCATTGATAGAACTTTCTTGAAGTTTCCAAAAGATGACGGGATCATACCTTCTAGTCTATTATGAGACAAATTGATCTCATTTAACGCGCCAAGATCCCCCAAAGAATCTGGGATTCTTCCACTAAGTTGATTTCTCGCGAGTTCTAGCACTTGTAACCCTTTCAAATTCCCAATATCTCGAGGGATTTCTCCAGTAAGTGAATTATCACTCACGTTAAGGAGGGTCAAGCCTGTGAGACGTCCAATAGATTCAGGAATTTTACCCGTGAAGCGGTTTCCTCCCATGAAAAGTTTCGAAAGATTCTTCGAAAGATTGCCAATAGATACCGGAATAACACCCTCCAAGAGATTTCCATCAAATGCAAGAAAGTCAAGTCGCGAGCTATTACTCAAAGATTTGATGAACTGCTCGAGATCTTGATCTCTGTCCCAAACTAACTTGTTGAAACCAATATTGTACATTTCTAGAAATGGGAGATTGCCTAGTCTTGATGGTATGGTCCCTTCTAGAAGGTTATGCGCAGCACGGATTACCTTAATGTTTGTGAGGTTATATAGAGAATCTGGAATCTCTCCGCTGAACTTGTTGAAACATATGTTGAAAACCAAGAGATTAGGAAGTGTTTCTCCTATGTTGCTTGGAAATTTACCCCATAAGTTGTTTGAAGCAAGAACCAAAGAGACTAGAGAAGATATGTTGTAAATAGAAGGAGGAACTGTTCCAGTGAGGTTATTTATGGTGAGATCAAGGACTTGAAGCTTTTGAAGACGACCCAATTCGTAAGGTATTGTACCACTAAGAGAGTTTGTACCCAGGTTTAAAACAGTTAGTGATGAAATGTTTGAAAGAGATGGTGGAATTGGTCCATAGAAAAGATTTTTGCCCAAGTTTAGGATATTGAGGTTCTTGAGATCACCAAGTTGGTTTGGAACAAGACCAGTGATAGTGTTTGAGGTTAGATCGAGGATCTGGAGATCGACTAACTTATTTAAGTTGGAAGGTAAGGATCCTCCTATGCTATTGGAGCTTAGATTAAGAACCTTTAAACGGAAAAGATTTGTAATCTCTTCTGGAATTGTACCTTGAAGTTGGTTATTTTGAAGTTGAAGAGATGTGAGAAAAGAGAGATTACCAATACTTGGGCTTATGGAACCGGTGAGACCGCGACTAGAGAGGTTGATGGAAGCCACTCTTCTGTTTCTTGTGTTGCAAGACACGCCAGTCCAATTACAAGGAGATGTGTTTTTGTCCCAAAAGAAAGAAAGGGTTTGTGGGTTTTGGCTTATTTGAGACCTAAACGAGATCAAAGCTTCTTTGTCCGTATTTAGAGAAAGAGAAGCCGAAACAACAATGGAAACTGTTGACACTAAAAGCACATAAAGAAGAAAACTCAACCCCATTTTTTTATGATCTCTTTTTTTATTGATTACTCTGTTTTTGCATATGTGAAAGATCTAAGAGAGGTTTTGATGATTTATAGTGATTTATTGGAGTACGTACGTGTTTGGTTGGAACAAGTTTAAATTGGTGTTTTCTAACATCGGTTACAAAAGTCCATAAGCTAGCTTGACAATTATATTATGTGGTTTACAATGTTGACACTACTCTTTTTTTTCATGTTTTCATACCTCAACTCAAACGTGCGACACAAATTTTATACATCATTGACCTTTCTTAAATATTTTCTGAAAAATAATAAAAATATTTTATAAAATTATATGGATTAATTTATATGAAGTGCTAGGTGAAAACCGTTATATAAGATAGCAGTGATTTACGTTTTGTTATGAATTTATCATAGTAGATCATTGGTTTTAGATCTAAACGTCCAACTTAAATTCCTAATTACTATTATTTGCTATCCACGTTTCTGAAGATGTATAATGGAGTAAAAGTGACGTTATTACACCTATACGTGTCAATTTTATGAACCTCTGAATAATATAGCCACTACGTTTTCCCATGCAGAGAAAAAAAAATACGTCATATAATAGGATTTTCCCCTTTGGTTTATGAACCTCAAAATCTCCTCTGACCTATTCTCATTTTGACTTGTTGTCCTTTTACACTGTAAGATTAAGACCAAATATAACTTTGTAGATGCTCTTAATTGATTGAGATTCACAAGAGAAATTGTACAAATTCTCTTTAGATGCTCCTCCTACATTGTTGGTGTTGGATTTTGTACGTAACTCGTAGTCAAGCTGACCATTTAGTCAAAAAACCGGTGTGATGGGATGTTAACCGGTTCGAGTGTGAAAAAACCAATTTCAAATACAAAGACTGAATCAGCAGAATTTGGTTCAATGAGAGAAAAACAAAAAAGAGAGAAAAAAAAGAAAGAAAGAAAAAAAAGACTTACTCTTTCCCTAGTTTCCACGGTTGTTTGGTAGACATGTGTTACGGTCACTAATGAGGAAGAAACCATATGTTATAAATCGAATTATCTATACATATTGTTATTATTTGAGCCGCCTCGTATCGTACGTGGGAGATAGTTTCCAGAGCCTATGTTTCCTTGTTACTTCGTTAGTAGGATCATGCATGGATCGTTGTTTACCTTCTCGTATTTTAATGACATTGGTGTCTAATAAGTAGCATAAACGTAAATTTTGGAAAACAGAGTTTTCTCTCTTACAAAGATTACTGAGACCTATCAGTGTGAAGTTTTTCTTTTTATTAACCAAATGTGATCCAAGCTTTGACCATATGACTAATCATCCAAGGTAAATGTAGCCATTGAGTAGTGCACTCATCGAGTTTTCGAATGAATTTAAAGCATGAAACCATTTCAAGTGGTCAAGTGAAAGTAGTATAATAATTCCGTGCATGAGGAGAATTAATCTCTTCCCTAGACTAATAGGACAATTCATTCTCACTTGAGAACCTACACACCACTACCACTTGATTTATCACTGTGAAGTTATCTCAACGATCCGATATGTCTAAAACTCAATTTAACATAAGAGTCCGCATGCGCAAAGCTAAAGTAACCATTCAAAACAGTCAGATCTTGAAAATAATGATGGAAGATAGAAACAAGGGGACATGACCTAAATGAAACATTTTACAAGTTTCATATAACCAGCGAGCAATCAAATTAATACATACATACAAAATGCGTTATAGTTAGTGTTTAGGACGAATTACAACACCTTTGACTATAAGCCCTGACCTCCACATATTAGCTTCGTGTTCATACAATGAGAAACTGATCTCTCCTATGTTCTCCTTAGACATTATAAACTCACCGGCCGAAATATCTATCCATCCCTTCCCAATGTGTTCCACAAAGCTCACACTCTGCTCTTGAGGTGTCTCGGTACAACTCGGTACGACCAACTTCAGCTTTACCGGTGCCCAGTCCCATCCGTAAGCTGTATCCTCTAGCTTTATGTTGGGATAAGCTTGAAGAAGAAGACTTAGGAGACAAGTTACCTTTTCCTAGTTGAGTTATGACTTAGGAATTGGATTGTGTTTAGGAGTTATCTAGATACAATTCCTATTAGAATAAGGTGTTATCTCTTCTCTATATATATGAGTTATCAAAGTTGTGGTAACCTTAAGAGATTAGAGAGAGATTAAGAGTTTTAGAAGCTTAAGTTTTGAGTTATTTTCTTAAGCAAATAAAGAGAGTTATTCTTTAAATTCTTAGAATTCATAATCTTTCTCAAGTCTAGATTTGGTATCAGAGCTTGACGATTTTGGTTTTACACACACACTACCGATCATCACAACATGAGTGAGATCGTTCCAACAAGCAACAAGAAGGAGGCTGTCCCCTCTTCTATTCAATGTCCGATGCTAAATAGTACCAACTATACTGCTTGGGCAATGAAGATGAGGTTGCTGTTGCGTGTCCATAAGGTCTGGGATACGATTGATCCTGGATCCACTGATATTGATAAAAACGACCTAGCTAGTGCCCTTATTTTTCAATCGGTCTCGGAGTCTCTTATGCTGCAACTTGGGAACTTAGATACCGCTAAGGCTGTATGGGATGCAATTAAAACACGCAATCTTGGAGCAGAAAGAGTAAAAGAAGCACGACTCCAAACTCTTATGATCGAGTTTGATCGATTGACGATGAAGGAGACAGACACCATTGATGACTTTGTTGGCAAGATTTCTGAAATTTCTTCTAAAGCAACAACTCTTGGGGAGAGCATTGAAGAAACCAAGATTGTTAAGAAATTTCTTAAAAGCTTACCAATGCAGAAGTACATACATATTTCAGCCACCCTTGAACAAGTTTTGGACCTCAAAACAACATCTTTTGAGGATATAATTGGGAGAATCAAAACTTATGAGGAACGGATAAGTGCTGCAG